GTCCATGTTAACCTCAACTCGTCGAGCACCCTCGACTACTCGCCGAGTTCTTGCCTAATTTTACCAACTCGCAGAGTCACTTACCGACTCGTCGAGTCCATGGCAATCTTCAACGGACCCGCCGAGTCACTCTACTGACTCGCCGAGTCTACGACAATCTTCATCTGACTCGCCGAGTCGTTCATACGACTCGCCGAGTCCCTTCAGTCCTTCATCCATACAGATGCTTTTTAAGCCATGCAAAGGCTCCAGATTGCATATCCAACCTTCCAAGGCCTGTTTATCACGTAAAGTTGCAAACTTTACGTGCATGCAAAGCTTTAAGGCCCTAAAATGACAAAACTAAGCTTGAAATGAAGTCCAACACTTGAGGGAAGGCTCATACTTGCCAAAGCTGCTATCTTTATGGATCTAGAGACCAAAGGGAGTCCAGATCTAAAGTTGCAACTTCAGATCTTGGCTCAAACACAAAAGCTTTTCCTAAAACCCACCCAAAAAGAGGTTAAAAATGAGATGAGCCAAAGAGACAGCTTAATACCTTCCAGAGAGTATCAACTGATGTATATCTTTGCTTCCCACAAGTTCCTAGCTTGATTTTACTTGTTTCCCCCAAGTGTTCCTCACCAAGAAATCTCTTCCAAGCTTTATCACACCAAAGAAACACACACACACACGATTTAGGGTTTAAGGGTGCCAAGGAACTGTAAAGGGGAGGCTGGGGAAGGCTAATGATCTTTTAAATAGGGTGCAATACCCCGAGATTTAGGGTTTCATCTGCGAGCTCCTACTCGTCGAGTCCCTTCTTGGACTCGGCGAGTAGGTCACTAAAACACGCGGACCAACCCGCTGCTACTCGACGAGTGGGGCAGCCAACTCGTCGAGTAGACCTTGAAACCAAGAAGATTCTTACATGAACCAATACGTGAAAATTGGGGCGTTACACAGATAATCCTTACATCCTCGGTGTTATGATAGGAGCTGATGGTTGCTACGTAGAGGCACAACAGTCTTGTACTCAAAATCCAGGAATGGGTGCTTTAAATCAGTCAATATTCACACACCATAAAGAAGTGTAAGGTTAGGTACATGTGCTAATTTTTACTCCTTAACTTAAAAATGTCTTCCAAAAGGTCAGAAAAATAAAGTGAGCTGGAACTAGATAGTGAATTTAGGTACATATAAACTCAAAAAGTTCTTTAATTTACAAAATAATTGTTTTAATAGTATACTTTTGTACTCATGTTATTATTTAGTACATTACTATATATAAAACTCAAAAATATGGACAAAAGGCGTTAATGGGTCAACCTGATCCGTTTGAGATGTATTAAAAGTTACATGTTTGACCCAAATCTATTTTCACATGTTCACCAAACTGCCCGACAACATTGTAGCCACTTGTACATTTTTTTCCCATGTGCCAGAGGCGTAGCTAAGCTTGTTGAAGGTAGGTCCTATGACCTACCTTTTTTTTTAATACAACAAATATATATATAGAAAATATGTAGGACCTATCTCATTTTTGCTAAAAGATATATCTATTTTTGCTGAAAGACATATCTATTTCGGTTTTATTTACATAAGGAACCATGTGGTTTTTGGTTCTAGATTCGCCACTACCATGTGCTGATGTTAAAGAACAAATATATGAGGGCATGTATGTAAAAGTTTAGACTTAATAGGAAAAACTTACACTATGTCGGTTAAGTAAAAACAAATAACACCTTATTATGAACATTAAGGAACTTCTTCAATTTTCTAAGAAAACAATCTTCCAATTTAATGTGTCATGTTCCATTGTTCAAATCATATACACTATGCAATTTGAAGTTGTTATATATGTGTCATGTTCTTAGTTTTTTTTAGGTTGGTTGTATTTGTTTACAATTAAAGGATCAAGTTCATATTCAAAATTGAATTCTGATTCCAATTTCGATGACCATGATCCTTAGAGAGGATCTATAGGTATAGATGAAGCAAATGCAAGAGTGCAAGAAGAGGGACAAGATGAAGTACAATTTAGCATCAAATAACAACCTTATGAGTTTCTCATGTTTTCTTATTCAGATTTCACCATTTAGAAAATCACATTTCACCAAATGGAAAATGGTGCCTCTTGTATGTAGTTAAACTAAAATATAAATGGACAATGATTGAGAAGTTTTATGTTTTGTCATTTGAATTGTATATGTTTAATTAATATTTAAGCATGTTAATTGAACAATAGATCATATTAAATTTTAATTGCCAACAATCCAATTTAGATTTTACATTGTTAGCATATGCTTTTAACAATTTCATAATAACTATAAGTTAGAAAGACAAATGTTTGAGTTTGTATTTTTGCAGGATTATAATGCCACAAAAAAAATATCGTTTATATTAATCCTTTGGATTTTCGTGTGGGTCTTTACCAAAATTAGCAACTAAAAAAGCATGAAAAGAAATACATTATCTCATTGACTAAGATTAAACTTTATATCATCTATTATTTTTTATTCTCTGACCCTAACATCAAACAAACTTTTCATTCTTAAAAAAAAAAAAAAAAAAAAAAAAAAAAAAAAAAAAAAAAAATTGTGTTTAAAAGTCGAGTAAAAATCATCATTATCATATCTATAAAAAAGTGCTATAATATATTATGAATATATAAAAGGTCAATATCGAAATTCGGAAACATATTCCTTCTATCCCCCCAAAAAAAATTAACATTTTGGTTTCGAGTTGTTTATAAATTAACATATTTGTTGTTTAACAATTACAATATATTAATAAGTTTAAACTATCTAGTAAATCAAATATTAGATTTTTTAAATACTTAAATAACTAAACTTATTAAAACATAGATACAACGATATGCAAACAACAAAGAATGATGGCATTCAATAAAATAAAACACGACACAATTAAGTGAACAAGTTACGCACGTTATGTGTTTGTGGTTTTTAATAAAACAATACCAGAAAAAGAGTTGTCCAGGAGGTTACGATAATGATATCATCGGCAACCAATCCCAAATCTCCCTCACCCTAAAACCCCTTTTTCCTTTATTTTCGCCGGCGATAAGGTCTTCTCTTGAAACTTCAAAGATCCAGCTTTCCACCAACTCTAGATGGGTCCGCAGTTATTTATCATGAATCACACCACATACTTGTTGAATTGGTAAACTGAGAAGAGATGGTGGGCAATGGTAAGCTAGGCCGGTGGAGATTTTCTTTAAGGTCTTCGGCAGCGCCGGCGAAGAAATCGGAGAAGACGAAGCCTCTCGTTGAGTTTATTTGTCCGATTTCTGGTTTATTGATGCTTGAACCGGTTGTGGTTTCCTCTGGCCAGACATTTGAGAAGACATCCGTTGACGTCTGTAAAGACCTTAAGTTTGTTCCAATTCTCGCCGATGGGTCGAGGCCTGATTTTTCAACTGTGATCCCTAATTTAGCTCTTAAGAAGGCGATTCATAGCTGGTGTATGTCGACGGGGGCGGATTTACCTCGGGATGTGGATTATAGCTCCATTGAGGTTTCAGTTCGTAGGATGATGGCTTCTTCAACTCAAAGTGAAGGTGATTCGAGGTTTAGGGATTCGGAGAGGAATTTGCTTAAAGGAATGGCGGAGAAGCCGCCGGTGATTTTGACGCACGCAGCGACGGAATTGAATCCTCGATCTATTCCTCATCATCATCACTTCTACTCCTCGAGTTCAGAAGAATCGGTGCTCGCGAACGTTCCAGATACTCCACCGCTTCCATTCGTGACACGTCCGTCTTGCTATTCATCTTCTCCTTCCGCTTCAACGTCTTCCGAGATCGTCGTTGACGAAACCCCAGACCCTAACTCATCCACCTCCGACGAACAACATTTCGCATCAAAGCTCCAGAGCCCCGACATTTTCGAGCAAGAACAGTGTGTGATTTCGCTGCGGAAAGTCACCAGGACCGATGAAGAACTTAGGGTTTCTCTCTGCACGCCGCGGCTGCTCTCAGCACTCCGCCAGTGTCTCCTTTCGAGGTACGCCACCGTTCAAACTAACGCCGTCGCCGCTCTAGTGAACTTATCGCTAGAGAATGCAAACAAGCTGAAGATTGTCCGGTCGGGGATCGTTCCGCCGTTGATCGACGTGTTGAAGGCTGGAGTTTCCGAGTCTCAGGAACACGCCGCCGGCGCGCTCTTCAGCCTCGCACTGGAGGAAGAGAATAAAACAGCCATCGGCGTCCTAGGTGCGTTGCAGCCGTTGCTTCACGCTCTGCACTCCGACAGCGAGCGAACTCGGAATGACTCGGCTCTAGCTTTATACCATCTCTCTTTGAAACAGAGCAACAGGGTCAAACTCGTGAAACTCGGCGCCGTTTCAACTCTGTTAACAATGCTTGAAACTGGTCTCGCCGGAAGGGTATTACTGGTATTATGCAATTTAGCTGCTTCCAATGAAGGTAAATCATCGTTGCTAGACTCAAATGCAGTCGAATGTTTATTTCGGAAATTGAGAACAGAAAATGTCAACGCCGACGAGTCAACCCGTGAGAACTGTGTGGCGTGTTTGTACTCATTGAGTCATGGAAGTATGAGGTTCAAGGGGTTGGCGAGGGCGGCAAGAGGGGCGGAGGTGCTGCGTGTGGTGGAGGAGAATGGAAGTGAGCGTGCAAGAGAGAAGGCAAAGAGGATGCTGATGATGCTCCGGGAACGGGATGAGGTCGGAGAGAGTGTGGATTGGGATGCTATATTGGAGGGAGGAGTGAGTCAGACTCTGTTCAGAGGAAGTTCAACCGAGTTCTGATCGTTGATGGTTTAGTTAGTGTAGTAGTTTTTGTTAATTTAATTTGATATAAATTGTTTTTGAGTTGTGGTTGGTGGTATGCAATGTTATGTTCGCTTGGGTGGAAGGAAATAATTGTAAATAATAATTTTTGTAACCCTTCTCTTTGTAAAACACTTTGTAAAGCTTTTAGGTGTTTTGCTTTGAAAATGGTATCTAAATGAAGGGTATATTTGACACTCAAAGAGAAAGTAACAAAAATAGTTGTATAAGACCAAAGGAAGTAATCCCATGGTGGGGTGCACGTCAAGCCCCGATGAGTACGGAAACACCAACCAGACCCTATCATTCCTATGGAGTGAGTCCCCTTATTGGAGAACTGTAGGATGTAAATCGATCTGGAACCGGAACCGGACTGAATACCACTAATCGGTTCCATCTGGTTCTGGTTTCGACTTCTGGTTCGGCTTTTTGGTTAAAATGTTATCCCTGAGGCTCGGTGCCCTCTCTCCTCCTGAATCCATTTTGCTGTGATGCGAATCCATTTACGGTTCCATATGAGAATCCATTTTGATTTTGTGGATCCTTATCTTTGTTATTCATATTTGAATCCATTTTGCTTTGTGATCCATATCTTATTAATTGAATCTAGGGATGAGCTTTAGAACCGGACCGGTTCGGAACCGGAACCGGTTTTCCTATATTATAAGAACCGGGAACTGGACCGCCGGTTCTAGCACCGGTTCCGGTCCCGGTTTTCCGGTTATTTTTTAAACTAGAACCGGTTGAAATACTATAGATGATATGTTATCTTCCAGAGCTTGTAAGTGATTCAATACTTAACCAAATTATAACTTTTTACATTCTAAATTGAAGGACAAACACTAAATTACATGATGAAAAAAATCACGTAATTCCGACTTCATATGAGTGAATATTCGCATTTTAAAAACAGGACAGATAAAAAAAATGTTAAAACAGAAAATACGCAACATTGATATGCTGTCTTCCGAGGTCTATAACTGATTCAATATCTAACCAATTTATGTGTTTTTACAGTCTAAAATGAAATACAAACACCAAATTACATGTTGGAAAAAAAAATTAAGTAATTCCAACGTCATATGAATGAGTTATGCACGTTTAAAAAAATGGGACAGATTCGAAAAAACATGCTGAAATAGAAAAAACGCAGCATCGATATTCTTTCTTTCGAGGCATGTGATTGATTCAATATCTAACTAAAACATATGTTTGTACAGTCAAAAATGAATTACAAACTCCAAATTACATTTTAGAAAAAAAATCAAATAATTTCGACTTCATATGAGTGAGTTATGCACATTTTAAAAAACGGGAAAATTGTCAAACCGGTTCCGGTTTTTAGAACCGGGACCGGTTTTCATAAAAATGAAGAACCGGTAACCGGACCTTGTTACCAATTCCGGTTCCGATTCCAATCCGGTTCCGATTCGGTTCCGGCGGTCCTAATGCTCATCCCTAATTGAATCATAATCCATTGTACTTTGTCGGTCCATAGTTAAATCTTCAATCCATGTTTGCTTAAATTTGAATCCATATCTTTACTAATTGTAAGATTAGTTAATATAACCATTAAAAATATTTAAATTAATTATTTACCAACAAGTAAATTGATTATTAATTAAGAATTTATTTATAAATCAATAAAAACAATTATATATTTATTAAAAGATATAAAAAGTAAAGGATGATTATTTCCTTAAGACTAAACGGTGTGGGCAACAGCCGTTTTTCTGACGTGGCGAAAGCCTTAATGCCGTGGTAACGGCACAAACACCGCCCCTCCTCTCCGTTTTTGCGCGTTACAAGCCTCCCGTGGCTTTCCGTTACCACCACAACTTCCTACAACGTCGTTTTCTTCTTTTCTCTTCTAAAAATGTGGAGTGGGTGTTGGTGATTTTAGTGTCACCATGTCATTTTAAGTAACTGGAACTAACATGTGAGCTAAGAGGCTTTATAATTTGTACTCTAATATATGTACGGGGTTGTGCGGAGTGCACGCATGTATAAGATCGAATTAGAAGCCGGTGCGACGACTAGTTGGGGGTCCGGGGTTTCCAAAGGGGCAGAGCCCCTGACTGGGGCCCCAAAACCTCACCGAATTTTGCATATGGGAACATAGTGGAAAAATCAATTTTTTGAGGGTGATTATGGTAAAACTAAAGAAACTTGTTAGTTTTGGTAACCCTAATCCGGTTTATCCTGACTTGCTTCCAAAGCAACTAATGACGGTCCAACCCTAATGAAACTCTAATCTCGTTTAATATATAAACGGTTCTTCCTCTTCAGAAGAAGGTTACGAATTTGAGCTCTCGTTTTCATCAAACTCTCACAGAATCTCTCTAGCAAATTGGCTTACGATTTCTGTGCCTAGAATCGTAAGTGTCCATTTGGATTATCCTAGGCTGAATTTCTTGCAACCCAGGCATAGGGTAAAAATATCAGTTCGGAAAGTGTACTCACGATCCAAGTTGGTATCCAGATCTCCACCACAAACCCTATAATTTCCAATAGTGGACGTTGCCCACTCCGACTAATCTAAGCATAGGCAAAGGAAGAGTAGGGAAAATTGATGTGGTGTTAGTTTTCAAGAGCGTGTGTGGTCTAAATAGGGACTCTCAAATTTTCCACTTTTCTAAAATATAACGGTATATTTCGCAGCCAAACTAGGGACCAAAGCAAAATTATGGACCCTATTGTGATTGTTTTTTTTTTCTTCTAAAAAGTGGTTTATCGTTTTGAGAGTGGTCCAAGGAATTCACATTAATAATCAAAAGAAATTAACTTTCTCTTTGAAATTGACATTTTTTTTATATATAAATGAGAACTTAATCTTTCACGAAATAATTTTCAAGGCTTCAAATATTTTTCTCTTTTAAATAATGAGTTCACTTAACAAGTTATTTTGAGGGTATATGAAGCAGGAGCACTAAAAGATTGAAGGCAAAGTCACAAAGATGAGTTTATAACTTGATGATGATGGTAAATACGGAATCAACATGATAAAATAGAAGTCAGTTTTGATTTGACAACGGTTATGACTAATTCTATGGCCTACATCACGAGATAACCTTGTTGCCCTTACTCAGAAACTCTCTCATTTGTCTCTTTGATTCTCTTTCTCTCATGATTGCTACCCACGACTCATACCTCATTGATTCCAATTCGTTGACAATGTATTTTCCTATCATGTCCAAAATATTATTCCTCCGCCATATATTATACAAATACAAACATACTATGAGAGGCCACAATAGATAGAACAATAATGTGTCACTATAACAAAATACACGAAATATATAGCCTATACATAAATACATCTAACAGCTTCCCGCAGTCGGAACAGGAGTCCGAGAACGGACGTTCAGACTAGATCTGAAGTCAAGAAAGAGAGATGAAGGGATCCATTTCGTGAAAATATCGACATGCTGAGATGATGAAGGGACGTGGACAACACAAATCTGACCCATAACGATCTTTTCCTACACAAAATGAATATAGATCTCTATGTGTTTGGTGCGATGATTGTAACATCCCAAAAATTAAGATAAACTCATTTTTAAATTCATTCCAATCATACGATAATCACATCAAACGGTCGAAATTATATCATAGAAAAATATTATCAGAGTACAAGATCCCAAAATCATGTGATGCGAAAAAACATAGGTGAATGCAGTGCGGTCAGTCGGGCCCTTCCCTTTCGAGCTGGAAGTACCTGAAACATAAACTGAAAACTGTAAGCATAAAGCTTAGTAAGCTCCCCAAAATACCTCATACCATATACATATAAAACAGTAAAAACATATTGAGTCTATTTCACCCCCCTTCGGTATATTTCAACCGGTACTGGGTCTATTTCACCATATTCGATATCTTTCAACCGGTATCGGGTCTATTTCACCCCTACCACTAACACATATAATTATAGGAATAAGAGTCACAGAGACATCAAGTAAATACAGGCATAACATGTAATTGTCACGAAGACAACCATCATACTACAAACATAATCTAGTGTGCCGACATTGGTGACTTCGACCCGTGGATATAGTGAAGGAAACTCACCTCAGACTAAAGATAACAAATCACACTCGGGCCGCATACTCACGAAATCCTCTCACTAAAACACAAGTATAAAATCCTAATTAGATATTAGGTCAATAATCCAACCCGAGAGTCCAAACCCTAAATCTTGACTTTAAGGGCAAAAGGCTGCTTAATCCTTGCCTTATCGGGCCTACCCCACCAAGTCCCAAATCCAAACTAGCCCAAAAGGCATGCCAAGTCTAACTAAAAAGGATCCTAAGGCCCAACATGGGCCCAAGAGCTCCTTGATGGCCTAAAGCCCACAAATGACATGATACCACAAATATGCCTAAGGCCTAAACTCAATCAAGGAAAAAATCCCAACTAATCTCGAGCCCAAAACTCCAAAGGACCATAGAAGGGCGTACGCGCAACGTACCTGGCTCGTACGTCCGGCGTTCGTTGCTTGATCCGGAATCGGGGCGCTGGCCCAGTACGCACAACGTACTCAAGAGTACGCCCGATGTACTGGTCGGACAGCCAAACCACTCCAAATGTCTTAACCCATTAAGTTTTTAACGTCTAAATTCAGATCCAAGCTCATTAAACTGTATTAAGCCATAAAGTTGCAAACTTTATGCCTTTGCATGACTTAATGGGACTCAAACCATGGATTAAGCCTTTTATCCCCCTTAAGTAGTCACCAACTCATGCATGGTTGAGTTCTAACCTCCAAGATCCGATTTTTATGACTTCATGCACTCCTAAGAGCCTAAAAGGACAGCTCAAATGGTAAGGATTAGTCCATACTCCATGAGACCAAGTTATGGGACCAAAATATGGTAAGTTCTTCCCCAAACTGAGATCTTGACATAGAATGAACAAGTTTCAGACTTTATACCTCCAATGAGCTAGAAATGATGAACAACATCTGGATCTACAAGCTCCTT